TGACAAGGCTGGCTCAAGGCTAGGGTTAGGTCAGGGAAGGGGAGAGTGTTAGAAAAAATCAGCGATTTCCCCATGCAATTAACGCTCACACTTCATTATCTAGTTGTTGCATAGATAGATGCCAAAGCCTTAGTAGGATATCAATCTTAAACAATCACATTATTTCCAATCAAACAGACAGTGTTGCACAGCTAAAATATGTTATTCCTTTTTCCCACTCCATATCTGAACTTGTAGAAGGGTAAAAACTGAGTATTTGTCATATAAAAATGTTTTTAATTCAGACAAATTTGATTTTCCCTTCTTTTTAGTTTTTCTTCCAAGCTTTTCAAAACTATATTACATTTGAGGTAAACATAAATTACTGCGCAACAAACTGAGGAAGGTGAGTGCTTAAGATTGTGTAAACTTCACTCTGCCAGAAAGCAATTCTCTTTTCAGTCCCATTTCTAACCACCTTAGCACTGAGAACAATTCCAAATACCTAGAAAACAAATGTTCTCCTACTGCCATAACTAGATGGCTTCACAGAAAGTGAACACATGAAAGATGCTTAAAAAATAAAGTGGCAAATGATTGGATTAAAGCAAACAGAAAAAATTTTAGTATCTACTGGAATGGTGTTAACTTCAAAGAAATGATACAACTTAATTGAAATGATTTAAACTTCAGCATTTGATGAGGTACTAGAGTATCAAAACTCTAGAAAGACAACCATCAACTTTAATATATTCTACCACATTACGTCTATATTTATGCTTCAAATCAGGACTGGGTGAGTAAATTTATGCTCCATCATTACTGATTATCTGCTGCCTAGATCTAATAATTTAATTCTGACCTCTTGCCACTTAAATAGACCACTGCTAAAAAGAACGGTCCTGAGCTTACCAACAGTGTTGGTTTTAGCCACATGGGTTATAGAAGGCTCCCTGACACTTAATATAAAACCAATCTCCAGTACAGATCTTCAAAAATAAATCAATATAGTAATTTCATCCTCTTCTATATGAAAAAATTACAAGAAAAAAAGTTCACTCTGCCGGGTGTGGTGGCACATGCCTGTAATCCCAGCACTTGGGAGGCTGAGGCAGGAGAATCATTGCGAGTTCGAGACCAGCCTGGGCTACAAAGTGAGCTCAAGGCCAGCCTGAACTGCTTAGCGAGACCCTGTCTCAAAAAGACAAAAAAAAAAAAAGTTCACTCTGAGGGTCACTGCCTATACCTTTAAAATTTACATTGTTCTAGTAACTATTATTTCCCATGAAATCCTTTAGATAAAGAATTTTAAAGTTAATTTTGAAACTAAACATTTATAGGTGTCACTAGAACAACATGAGCCACTAAAGATCTGTCAAGAATTTTGGAATAGTGCTTTGCATATTCTATGCTAGGCACTTTCGACTTTGAACGTCCACTTAATTCCTCACTGAAACTCTATGAGGTAGGTGATATTATTATATACACTTTACAGATAAGAAAACTCAGGTTTAGAGAAGTTAAATAAGTGGCCCAAGGTGACAAAGATATTAAGTGGTAGACCGGACCCAATATGACTCCAGGCCCATGCTGTGAACCACTATATGTGACATTGTATCGAATGTACAAGAACATTTCAATATTTGCAATTTCTGAAAACATTAGTGAGGGCTGAATGTTTTTGGAGCAAAATTCAGTTTACTACTGCAAAGTATTAACACTGGGACTTAGCTTGAGGAAAGAGGAAAGTCTGAGCTAACTATTATTAAGTGTACTTTTTGTATCTTCACTTATTCAAATGCATATTTTTAATTACTTTCAAAATGTACCTCACTTCAAGATTATAACATTTTTCTATACTTTTAAAAATTGATACATGTTAGATTAACCTGTAGTTGGAAAAGCTTTTTAAGCTTAGAATTTTTGAAAATGCATCATGACAAAGACAAATATAGAAAGCACGACCTATCCTCACACATTCTCTACCACCAATGATCCAGCAGATGTTTAGGCTGAGTTGAGAACCTGTTTTACCAGAATAGGAGCTACTTGTTCTGAGTAGCTTTTATAGAACTTTACTTGTGACTTTAAAACATGTTTAAGTGTTTACATTAAAGTAATATGGAAAAGGAAGTTAGTTGTAACGAAGTCCCCTTATGTCTAATCGAATTTAAAATCTTGTTCTATGAAGAAAAAGCTACATATGAAGTGTTAGAAAGGTAATGGTTAATCATGTTTATGCTTCAAATCAACAATGATAAACCAAGTGGGTGCAGTTGATCTCAAATTCAAATACAACATAATCTAAAATAAAAACATTTAAAGGCATATTAATAGGAGTCTGAGATGAATATTTGGGATGACCAAATAAATGGCACAAAATGAGCCAGTGTGAATAATCAAATACATGTGTTAAATCGACAGACTTCGTGGTGGAACTCTAGAGACTGGAAAGAGACATTGTGGATACTCCTCACAGCAGCACAGTGAGTACTTGATATGATTAATAAGCTGCACCCAAAGAACAGCGCTCTGCTCTCAGGCCTTTGACTCTGACCTTTCACAGGCAACAGAAACAACATGCAAAGAACAAATCCCTGCAAGAAAGCAAGCAAGGAAGGTCTCTTGTATAAAGTAACTTCTCACTGGCCTTTGCAAGCTTAAAGGATTCATAGTAGTGTTACTAAAATGAGTGGTATTTGTATTTCTTTTTTTTTCTTTTTGTACCAGGAACTGAACTCATGACCTCACGCTTGCCAGGCAGGCGCTGTGCTGCTGAGCTAAATCTCTAGCCCCCGTAAGTGGTATTTGTAGAAACCAATACAGACAATTCTCTCATTACCCAGCCTAGGAACAAAAATTGTTTAAAAATAAATACAAGAAGTTTACTTACAAGATAGCCTTAAGAATACAGTAAAATTTGATTTTAAAAGAGTAATACCTCAAACTTTATTACTTAATGAAACAGCTTCTAGGTAACTCTTTCTGTTCCTCTTTTATTAAATGAGTTCAAAAAAACTGTACAGCTACAAGAAAATACTAATGCTACAAAAATATGTAACATTTCACGTACGTGTGTCCTCCTTGCACAGGGGCCACACTAATCTCTGTATCATTCCAATTTTAGTATATGTGCTGCTGAAGCAAGCACTGTAAAACCTGACTTTGTCAAGTGATTTAATCACCTGAAAATATTACCTTGAACAGTGAAAGCTTAAAGAAGACTGGTGCTCTTACTCACCTACGGTGACTAACTACTCAGGGCTGCAGATTCCGGACATCTAAGCTATTATCAGTCCCTCTTCTCTATTTCTCGGTAGTAAAGACTCCTTCCTATCAGAGGCAAGTCATATTAAATCTTCCAGTCTTAAACCACACAACTATTAAAGAAAAGTAAGAGGTTTTTATTTTGTTCTCTTTTTTTTTTTGTACTGAGGACCAAACCCAAGGGCTCTCCATCACTGAGCTACAACCCCAACCTTTTTTATTTTGACATAGGGCCTCACTGAACTGCCCAGGCTGGCCTTGAACTTTCAATCTGACTGCCTCAGTGTCCCAGGCAGCTGGGATTAAAGGCGTGCACAGTGCACTGAACTAAGAGTTTTAGCTGCCCGCTATATACAGTCCTACCACAACTAGGGAAGTGGAAGTGGCATTCCCCGGTCCCAGGAGTTAGCATCGTATCTGATTCACTCTCTTAGCATTCAGTATGGTGTCTGTACCACAGCTATTGTCAAATAGAATCCCCAGGATTAGAAATATTGATAATGAGATCTCAAGAAATTATTCTGATACAATTATTAAAGTATTTGTTAGTTTCAGAATGTAATAAAGGCAACGGTATTTAGAAGATAATCTATTACACCGATAATGGGATGACTGGTTTGGGGGTTTGGAATAGGAACTACTAAAAATATATCTCATTTTAAAAACAAAGGAGTAGAGAAAAATGTGCTATAAAAATAAAGAGCACCCTGTGGTCTTCATTAATTATATCAATAATTATTTCAACCCAAAAAGAAGGTCTAATGCAGTTTAATTTATATTTTTATTAACACTGTCAACCATCAAAAATGCAAGGGTAATTTTTTAATGAATAAATTTTAATAATGTATAAACTACAGTTAAAGAGCCCAACTCTCTAAAGATCAATTTAAAAAGCACTTGACTAGAGTGTCCTTGAAAATCTCCTTTGCCAGCTTGTAACTATACATGCCTTCCATGGGTGTTTCTGCGAGTCTGCTTGCTTTTCTAAGTTAAAGTCACTGATCGGCTCAAAAGAGCACAACAATGAAGTCTTTTCTAAATGGTTCATCTGTTTTCTCTTAAGCCATTTTAGTGCGGAAAGTGCAACTAAGCAACTACTTCTCTGCATTTATTATGTAATAATTTCACAGCCAGGTACGTTGCATGAACTTATAATCCTAGCACTCTGGGAGGCTGAGGCAGAAAGGCTTGAGTTTGAGCCCAGCAACTTATGGACTTAGTGAGGCCCTGTCTCAAAATAATAACTAACTAACTAAATTAATTAATTAATAAGGTTGAGGATGTAGCTCAGAGCAAAAGCCCTTGGTCTAATCCCCAGTAACCCCCGCAAAAGAAAGAAATTTCAAAAGAAAAAAAAGTCTACTTATTTTTAACGTGAAGTTATTGTTGTCTCCCATTCCCATCAGCATAGTTTAAGTAGGAACATAACATCCCTAATAAAACTACTTAAATGACCTAATTAATTAATCCCTGTATGATGTACTGAAAAATTAAAAGTAAGTTTCTTGACGTTTTGTGTAACACCATGTGTTGAAACTTCTTCAGTTATGCTAGGTACTATATGTTCAAGGACTTGTGCAGCATTTGAACTGTCACACTGAAGATAAAGTGTGTTAATTTAAAGTGACAGGAACTGAATCATTCTGAAGGGAGCAGGGAAAGGACATGAGCATGCACTGAACTTCAGTCTCTGAAGCATTACTATGGATTCTGGAGCATTAATTGATTTAAAGCACATGCTGCTGAGTCAGTACCTGCCAGAAATCCTGATCAGGAGATAAGAAAAAGAAAAAAATTGACATTGTTTGATTATATGAACAAAATCCACAAATTAAATATACCACAATATCACAAAATATAACACAGAAAGGAACAATTAAAACCTGTAAAAATAACACTGAACACCTGAAAATAAAAAATGAGGAACATACAGAAATGTTCTGATATTATCTGTTAGACATAGTAACAGGATCAGTGCAGCAAAGCGATTCTCAACCTCACCAAATGAAACACACAGCTGTTTAAGATCTTCCTATTTCCATAAAAGGAAAATACGTGAATAATTATATTTCTTAAAGAAAAGGAAAGCACACATTTCTTTTTTCCTACTGATGATCAAAGCATTTTTAAATTAAGTTTCATTCTGAGAAGTCTTCACATTTTATGCATAAATTTCTTAACTTCCTGGCAAATTGGTTGCTTTGCCACCTACATTACCGTATATATAAGCAACCAAACATGGACGAGTTCCGAGGATTAGCGTCTACTCAAAGGAAGGGTTCAAAATGGCTACTGAGAAATAGGTATCCTCCAAAATTCTGCTGCATGAAGAAAAGGGTTATCCACAAGGATAATGCCTTCAATAGGAGCTGGCAAGGAAGCTACTCAAGTTCGCTAATTTAGGTGGCTAAGTGCGTCAAAATATCCTCGAGAAAAATATTGTTTTTTAATAACACGTTTGCAGTGCATAATGGTACATTCCTAGTGGGGAGTTGGTACATGTACACGGCACACCACAGTTCTTTTCTTATCCCCTTCCTCGCTCCTCTCCTCTCCTTCCTCCTTCCCTATCTCGTGGTTCCTTTCCCTTTTGCAAAAGATCTGTCTCCCTATTTCCTACTATCTTTTAATTTGCTTTTCATTTATGTTTTGGGTTTCTCCTATAAGAGAAAACATGCAGTGTTCAAGCTTGTGTGTGATTTATTTCACCTAACATTATAGTCTCGAAGTGCATCCATTTTCTTACAAATGACTCAAGTTTAAGGATCAAATAGTTTAAAACATTTTTTTCATTAAACAAACTTTACTGGCTGTGAAATAAAATTTGATGTACACTTACCATCATTATCAAACCAAGCTTACTCATACTATAAAAGTCCTTGACTGAAAAGGAGATGCAAATGGTAACTTATGAGTATACAACTGGGATTGATATGACAGAGGCCCAGAGGATTTTACAGCACAGGAGTGAGATGAATTGCTACGAACACAGGACAGCTCAGATATGACTAATCAAAACAGAGGTCTCTCTTTGGTTACTTTTCTAGATTTTTAGCCCGGGCAAACTTCTCACTACAGAGACAGCACTATGAGATTTTTATAGCTGACAGTACTGGGACGAAAACAACCATGAAGAGGGCAACTATGTACAGGGTATGCTGTTCTGCAGCATTTCATATAAAGCAAGAAAGATTATATATATGATAGCAAGTAACATTTAATAAATTGAGTAAACGTCTCAGAGTCATGCAAAATACCTATAGTGTGTAGAACCAGACACTTTCTTACTGTCCAATTTTACTGAGAGGGTAACTGGCACTCAGAGGTTAACGGGTGCCTTGTCCAAGGTTACTCACTATGCAGCAGAGGCCATATTTGGATGAATACAGGATTATCTCCATGTCCACACTCTCTTCATCCTACTGCAGTACATGTAAGTACAGCAGCCCACAAGATTGTACTTTTTCATGCCCAATTCAGCATGCTTTATAACATCCACTAATCATTTACACATGGCTGTCAAATCCTGCGATGCAAAAATAGAAAAGGCTTGGGAAATATTCCAGACAGCACAGCAAGATATTTTTTCAGGGCTATTGTGTGGGAAAAAGAGAAGTTGTTAATTTGTAAGAAGAGAGAAAACTGAGAAAATGTTTTGAATATAACTTAAAGAACTTGGGATGTGAAATAAGATGGTAAATTCTTTGATTAAAAATAAAACAGAAAATTCTAGCAGGTGTCAAAGGATTGAACTTTTTGGATGCAGAGGACTGAACGCAGGGCGCTTCCCACGATAAGCACATGCTTTACCCCTGAGCTATACCCTCTTAGTCCAAAAGGTTCCCTCACTATTGAATCAACACCTGAATTCACCAAGGTCACGCAATTATATTCTACATATCTGCTCATCTAAAGACTATAATGGGGCTGGAGATATAGCTCAGCGGCACAAGCACTTGACTGGCAAGCGCAAGGTCCTGAGTTCGATTCCAGGTACCAAAAATAAAAGACTATAATGAGCAGCTCTGTTCAAATGATGTTGCATTTAACACATAGCTAATCAGTATTTTAAAAGGTAAATGTGTTTAGGTTTTAATAGAAACATTATTTTCTCTATTAGCCTGACTACAATCAGCAAAGATCTGATTTCTCAAATATATATCACACTGCTCACTTTAAAAGGGATGCTTTAATGAAAAAGAAAAGGTACTTTTCAAAACACTATTTGATAACTCATGGTATATGAGAAAATAATGGAACAAATAACAGTGAAATCGACATTCTGATTTCTAAATTCAGGTATTAAAATTTATGTAACTCTCATTTTCTTTCTTTAAAATGAAATATTATGTGGTTTTGTGTTTATTATGGGTTTCTAGCTATACCTTATCCAAGTGGAAAAAATGAACTTTGACAACTCTTACCAAAAAGACATAAAAGATCAAGGGTTATTTTGAGCAAACAGCATTAAGGCAGTAAAATAATAGAACTCTTTGATAAGAGACATTTTATTTATAAATAGGTCATAGAGAAAAACAATTTAGATATATGAGAGGATAATATTTATGAGTGTGGACTGTGCAGCCATACTACTACTAATTTAGAATCCTGGCTCTATCACAGCTGGCTGTCTGATTGTAGGTTAGTTACTTGACCTTTCTGTGCCTTTCTCTCTTAATCTGGTTCTTACTTGTTTGTTTGTCTTTTTAGACAGGACTTCACCATGTTGCCCAGGATCGTCTCGAACTTATGATCCTCCTGCCTCAGCCTGTTGAGCTGACAGGATCACAGGTATGCACCACAGGGACCTGCTCTTAATTCAAAAAATGATACAAATAGCTATCTAACAAAAAGACTATGTGGACTAAAGGAGTTGTCATGTGTAAGCACTCAGGAAGCTGCCTGGCACATAACAAATTCTTGAAAAGCTTCAACTATCATCTCTTTATATAATAATTATTATTGTTGGTAATGATTCCCTTTTACAACAGTCATGCACTTTTATTTAGAGATTTCATTGCAAACTGGAAAAACAAACGTCTGACAACCAATGAGTAAATATGTCATTCGGTTTTTTTAAAAATGCTAAATCATAACTTTCAAAATAATATTCCACTATGAAATGTTTGTGGGGAACTTCTGGCTTCAATAATCTGAAATACTGTGCATTGTCTTAAAATCTGGTTATTTTGTTTTAAAGCAAGAATTTCCTTCTCATAAATGAAAAGGAGAGCCAGGCGTGGTAGCTCATACCTGTAATCCCAGCACTTGGGAGGCTGAGGCAGGAGGATGCTGTGAGTTCGAGGCCAGCCTGGGCTACAAAGTAAACTCAAGGCCAGCCTGAATTACATAGCAAGACCCTGTCTCAAAAAGACCCTCCTTCAGCCAGGTGTGGTGGCGCACACCTGTAATCCCAGCACTTGGGAGGCTGAGGCAGGAGAATCGTTGCAAGTTCGAGACCAGCCTGGGCTACAAAGTGAGCTCAAGGCCAGCCTGAACTGCACAGCGAGACCCTGTCTCAAAAATGACAAAAAAAAAAAAAAGAAAAAAAGAAAAAAAAGACCCTCCTTTAATCAATCAATCAATAAAAAAGAACATAAGTAATGTAAGTAATATGCTCTACTTACTAATGAGATTGATAGGGCAAATGGAAACATGCATTACAAGCAAAAACCATAAAATTCTATCTACATATTCATATTTAGCAACAGAGAAATCTAAGTAAATACATAATAAACTCAACAAGAATTTGGACATGACTGGCTTCAAGTTTTCGAAAGTGGGAAGGGGCACAATATCGAATCACCTATCTTAACATTGCAGCCTACCCAAATTGAAGAGAATTTAGAAAGTAAAAATATATGGAGAGTTATTATATGCTTTCCCATGGGACTTCCAGTCTATATCTGCTAAATTACATTTCCCTGATCTTCAACACACTTCCCTTTTTTTGGCAGGAGGGATGGGTGAGACAGTACCTTGCTATGTACCCAGACTGGTCTTGAACTCTCTATGTAGCCCAGGCTGGTCTCAAATTTGTGGCAATTCTGTCTCAGCCTCCCAAAAGCTGTGATTATAGGTATGTGCCATCATGCCTGGCACATTTCACTCTTAAAAGACAGGATATCCCTTAACTTACTACACATGTCAAAAAGTAATACTGAACTTCACTTCACACCAGAATTTCATTTGTGATATGAGATAAATAATCACAACTCAAAGCATTAACATTATTGCAATACAGAAAGAAATAAGCTCATATTCTCCTTAGAGAAAATGAAATCTCCCCCAAAGGGAATGATATTTTTTAGTTCATTTTTCAGTATTTTAAAAAGGTCTTTCACAGTTGGGAGTGTAGCTTGGTGGTAAAACACATGCTCAGCATACATGAGGCCCTGGGGATTTAAGAAAGAAAGTAAGATAGAAAACACAAAATGTATGTGTGTGTGTGGGGGTGATAAATACATGGTGGAATCATACTAATGGACAATTAGCCTTAATGAACAACTTGTTATTGTACTTGGAAATGGGGTATGGACTTTATAGTTTTTTGAAGACAGAAAAAGATTACATCAAAGTTCTAGAAATTGTTATTCTTTGCTTAAGAAACAATTGTATCTAGATCATGCAGTTTTCTACTGTGACTTAAAGAAAACACTGCGGCATTTGATTTGGAGGAAGTCACCTAGTGCGTGTATTTTATTTTATTTTATTTTTTGATACTGGGAATCAAACTCAGGACCTTGCACTTGCCAGGCAGGCACTTGTGCTGCTGAGCTATGTCCCCAGCCCCTAGTGTGTGTATTAAGAGCAGAAAATACAAAACTATGCTCCGAGGTTTGCTGAGGAAAACAAGGAGTAAGAGAAAATGGGACAATGAAGGTTACAACCAACTGACAGAAGCTATAACAATAAAAGATACCAACTAAATGATTAAATGACAAATATTTGACAATAATATAAAATAAAAGCTCCACTTGGAAATACTTTGTTTTATAGGCCAATTACTAGCTGTTAAAAAAATTAAAGAAAATATAGTTTTCTTTAAAGAAACAATATAAAGTACATGAAATGACTGCATTAATGGCATAATACATGGATATTATAGAGTATTTTTTTGTTTTGTTTTGTTTTTGTTTTGTTTTTCTTCCAATACCAGGAGTTGAACTCACGACCTTGCACTTGCCAGGCAGGCGCTTTGCCACTGAGCTAAATCCCCAGCCCCTATAGGGTATGTTTTAAAAATTCATGATATATTTACATTAAGACAAAAGCCAAACTATACAAGGTGTGACTGAAAAATAGTGTTTAAATTTTAAGAAATTTTATTACAATAAAAGACACATGGCCATTAATCCTCCTCACCTCAAACACACTTATCCCATCATTCTTGCCACTTTCTAAAGCAGTTCTGGAAGTTCTTTTTTGTGAATCCTTAGTTATGCTCTTGTAGCTACTTCAGTGTCCCAAATCAATTCAAAACATTCATTTTTCATGGTCATTTTGACTTTGGAAAAGAGCCAGAAGTTGCATGGTGCCAGATCGGCTGAATAAGGCGGATGAAGGCACACTGCAATGTTTCAGGCGCCTTCCTTTTCGCTGGATGGCACTTGGCAGAAGCATTCACTGTTTGATCAGACCTTGTAAAGACACTAAGTAAGACTTCTAGAATGGCTCTAGAAAGTGACAAGAATGATTGGATAAATATATTCAAACCGAGACAGAGTACCGTATTCTTAGAGGGATTAATGGCAATGTGTCATTTACTATAAAAAAAAATTCTTTTAAGTATAAGCACTATTTTTTTTTTTTTTTTTTTGGTTTTTCTCCGGTACTGGGAACCGAACTCACGACCTTGCGCTTGCCAGGCAGGCGCTTTTGCCGCTGAGCTAAATCCCCAGCCCCTACTCACTATTTTTGATCCTCCCTTGTATTCTGTATTACCATCTTAATAAAAGTGTTAACAAGATATTAGTAATTTTCAAATATCTCATAAGAGAAAATCTGAACTCTTTTAAGCTTTGATATTTTAAAAACTTTTAAACTTTGTCTGAATATTAAAATAATATCACTTGCCTGCAAAAAACATTCATAATGCCTGTAGTCCCAGCACTAGGGAGGCTGAGGCAGGAGGACTGTTATGAGTTTGGGACCAGCCTGGGCTATAAAGTGAGCTCAAGGCCAGCCTGAACTGTATAGCGAAATCCTGTCTCAAAAAGACAAAAACAAAACAAAAGAAAACAAAAACCATTCATAAAACCTACATCTATACCTGTTACAATTACGGGTGGGGTGGGAGGGTAGTTAGTGGGCATTGAACCCAGGGCTTTAAGCATCTAGGCAGGCACACTAGCTCATCTCCAGCCGTCTTTTCAAATTTTACTTTGAGAACAGGACTTGCTAATTTGCCCAGGCTCGCCTTGAACTTGTGATCTTCCTGCCTCAGCCTCCTGAACAGCTGGGTTTACAGGCTGCTACCATTCTTTATATAAGACCTGTGTTAGTGCAAAGTTTTTAATAGGTGATGCAGTTTCTGGTAATAATATAGTTTATAACTTTTCTACAAAAATCCTTCAGTGACATAAGGTAGTACTGGGCTCTGGAAAAAGATTTCCAACTGAATTCAAAAGCTGCTAATTCTAACTCAGATCAGCTCAAATAGGAATGTTTCACTTATTTCTTACAGGCAATTGGCTAGTTAATTAAACAGAATAGGGCAAAAGATAGCAAAACAAAAAACAGGTACCCAATTATTTGTCAATATAGTTTGGCTATTCTTTTCTACTTGGCATCTGGAAATAAAGGAAAACACACCCCAGGAAAATGTTATTTTTATTTTACATTTGTTATTGCTTTCAATTACATAAAAGTCAAAATATAATTCAATTAGAGGGCAGTAAGATAAACTAATGTGTAATACTGGTCAAAAAACAGAGTTTGTTAAATGTTACATTAAAAATTAAAATAATGGCAGCTTAAGTAATGGAAGCTTATGATGGAAGTAAACCATTCTGTCTCAGCATGTCGTATCTAGTTATCTTGCATGAGAGAGAGAGAGACAGAGAGAGAGAGAGAGAGGGAGAGAGGGAGAGAGGAAGACAGAGCAAGAGAGAGAGAGAGAGAGAGAGAGAGAGAGAGACAGAGAGAGACAGAGAGAGACAGAGAGAGAGAGAGAGAGAGAAAGTAAATCTAGAAGGAAATTCTTCCAGGGTATCTAGCTTTTCAACTGTAGTTCTGGTAATAATGCGTGAAGTTGACTATAATTAACCACACATATCTGGCTTTTCAGCAGAAAATTCTTGTACAACTTACGTACTCTAGAAAGCACTATTTAAGAATTAAGATTTTCTAACCAAGAGACAAAGTCATTAAAACATAAGAAAATAATACAGTTGAGTAAGTAATGAACCTTCTCTCATAACTATCAAATGAAGGACTTCATACATAACAAAAAACCTGGAAAAACTTTTAAACTGATTGAACACTGAATGAGTTTTGCATGCCTTATCATTTAGCATTTTAAAATAGAATAGAAACTATTTTCTCAAATTTCATATGAAACAAAAGGTTATTCATAAAGACATAAACCAGAGGTAAGCTCAATATAAAAGTCTTATTTAAGATGCCTTTCTCTCTAAAACAACACCTCAAGTATGTCATAGTGTGAGCCAAAAAAACTTTCTCTCTAAAATGTATTTTATGGAAATCAGTGTAAATTTTAATGAAGAATCTGGGAAAGAGAGTCAGTGTACATATCAGAAGATGCATGAATGGGAGCTCCGGACTGTTTAGTTACTGCTAGGGATGAGCTGGCTGGCTTAGGGTCACTGGTTCAATTCTACACCTCCTAAGAAGAATCTCCTATTTTTTCTTTCAGAACTTGTTCCCTTGGTGCCATAAAGTCAACTTCTAAATTCCTGACTTTCATACAAGTTGTACTTTTAAGCATTATACACTAATGTTCCTAAATCTTGCCTTCTTACTCCAATTCAGAATTTTATACTTCAGTGTACAATAAATGTTTGCAACTTTAACTTGTGAAGTCTGCTTTCTAAATATAGAGACAGTACCACTTTGTCTCATATATTCAACTTCTTTACATGGTTTACATATGTAACAAGAGAGGATAATATTCTCACGTTACTCTGGATTCCTTCAGTGACCAAAACAAGTTATTTGTTAAACTGTCTCTGTTATAAGATGTTGTTGACTTACTGAATCATACCTCTATGGAATATATGATGGACAAGGAGATTCTTGGCAAGTCATCAAACACGTATTGGTCACCACCAGGGTGCCAGGCCTATGCTGGACTCTGAGTGATACAGAGACAGGTTAGACAGGGGCCTGGTCTGCCACAGATTCTGAACTCAGACCCAATTCATGATTTTCCTTCTGATTTCTTTCCCTTTATCCTCTATAAAGCCAGACCTGGCTCTTTTTTTTCCCGATGTACTTTCTTCCCCCTCCTCTGTAAAACTTACCCTTTACTTTTCTCTGACCCTGTGTAATGTTTTCTTTTTTATTTTGAAGAATTTAGACTGAAAGGGAAAAACATATTTGACTGCTTACTGAGGTAATAAAATTGCAAGTTTCATTTGTTGTACCTATAAATAATTCATTACATGATTTATTCAGGTATGAAATAAAGAATCAAAATTAAGCATAACGCAAATATATGTAAATTTGGTGTATTTAGCATAACTGATACAAAAGTGCTATAAGAACCTTTGTAATTTTGTAGTTCGAATAACTGCTACATGCTATCACACAGTTTAAAGGTCAAATCAGATGTCTTATAAGAAATGCAAATTAACACTGTGGGACTTAATCTTTATGACAACTATTGAGCTAACATGCAAGAGTCAACAACACTGAATTAGCCCTTAATATAGAGCAAGCAACCTATGAAAGTTACCTCATATGGAAAAAATATAAAAGAAACTTGTGCTTGATTCTATCCATGGAAGCATTTGAAGGCACAGACCTCCTAACCTATGCATACTTTTTTAACAAAAGAGACAAGTGTTCTGGGATCTCTCATACATAAGATTAGAAGAGCCTGAAAATCTTAAACAACAGGATATGTAAGTGTGTGTGTGTAACAGTTTGCTCACCTTTCCATCAAAGCGTTTTATAATATACTGATCCAGGCCCAAATCTGTATAAAAAAAAAAAAAAAGTAAATTTATGTAGTCACTGATAACTCAAATGAAACATAAAAAATAACAGCTTAGTTTTGTTTCCAATTATTCAAATAAATGTCAATATCTATTCAAAATGCACACAAGTAGGAGGACTGCCATCAGTTCAAGGCCAGCCTAGGCTATACAGTGAAATCAAGGGCAGCCTGAACTACACAGTGAGAGCCTATCTCAAAAAAAAAAAAAAAAAAATCCACGCAAATGAGTATTTTGCCAACTTACAGACTCCCAACTGTTAGTGCTAAAAAATACTCTTTTACTTTATGTCTCAGAAAAGTGAGGGTCTGTAGGGGTAAGTTTTATGAGCAAGCCTACTAAATGGTGGAGTTTAACTAGACCTCTGGACCTGTCCCCAGGCTGGTGCTCTTTCCATTAAATCGCCTTTAGTTAAGGGAAGGGATATTAGTTTAATCTGAATGCAAAAAAAAATTATTATTAAGTTAAAGAAAAGGGTTCAGTACTAAAAGAACCTCTGCAACAAATCCAACAGACACAAAATGCCAATCTTACTATTACCGCCCCCCCCCAGTAACCAATTGAGCCAAGGGTACTCTGCCACTGAACCACATCCTCGGCCCTTTTTATTTATTTCGTTTTGAGACAGGCTTTTGCTAAACTGCATGAGGTGTCCTCAAACTTGTGGTCCACCTGCCTCAGCTTTCCAAGTAGCTGGGATTACAAGTGCATGCCAGAGTATACAGCCTAATCCTCCCTTTACTCTAGAATACCTAGTTTTCAATTCTGAGCTCTTTGAAAGATAAAAGTAAATATATTAAGTGCCTTAAGAGCAAGGATTTTTTTGTCTTTGTACACTGCTTTATCTCTAGCACTTGAACAATGCTTGATCAGTAAGTATGCTCAAAAGAACTAATAGCATACAGTTTCTATCTTAGTCACAATTCTGTTAGAAATATGTATGGATGTAATAATTAACCTTATAAGGAAGCAGACACTTAGTTCAGCAAGAGGGTGTTGTATGAGTTTTGAGCATGAAGAAATGAGTCCCAAATACAATTACTTTTCTTGCATAATTACTCAGTTCTTTTCTTTCAGTTCTGACTGTACTCGTAGGAGCTCAGGTATGAGCACAGTGCCCATGGTGTTCACAATCAGATTCCATCTGCTCAGAAGAAGCTGTTTACATCTCTACTTCTAAGTGTTTCGTTACACATTCTCTTTATCTGAAAGGTGCTTCATCTTCTAGAATGCTGCCCTGAACAAACTGAACCACTGACTGTAAAATGAAACATATAATTTAGGAAACCAAAGGGAATTTTAGAAACATTCTAATTTGAAACTCTGGAAAAGTAACAGTCAAAAAGAAGCTTCTATGATAAAACAGAGAACAAGAGTTCTAGGTAATTAAAACTTAGATTATTTATCTCCCTCAATTTTTTACCATACCATCAAAAGATGAGGATAAGGCAACCTTCCAGACTACTGACAAAAAGACATCAAGATGGAAAAACAGAAACAAAGTTATAGAAAAACAGAGAATTCAAGAGGTTTAATACAAGACCTTTTTCTATTCACAAATAGGGAGGAAATAATCCAAAAAATATTGACAAAAATTCTCAGAACTGGAGAGACAAACTTAAAGACCTTACTAAGTGTTCCAAGGAAAAGAAATTCCCAGAATTTTCAAGGAAATAATAACTTTCTATATTCTTAAAAAGGAATAAGCATTAGCCTAGACTCAAATTTCTCATGAGTGAAACTGGATTCACCTACGACAGGCGACACAGTGTATACACTGACTAACAAGCAGCACTGCCCAACAGAAACAAAGATGAGCAACAAATACAAGTCACGAGTAACCGAAATTCTAGTAACAGTTACTTTTAAAATGATAAAAAGAAACAGATTAATTTTAATATATATTACTAGATATATCTAAAATAGTTTCAAATCAAGTAGTAGTCAAGAGAAAATATAAATTAACAGCCTTACTTTTTTTTTACTAAGTTTTCAAAATCCAAGTGTATTTTACAATTATGGCACATTTTCAACTTAGACTTGTCACATTTTTAAGTATCAATAGCCATGTGTGGCTATAAGCTACTATACTAAATAGCACTGATTTTATTTATTTACTTATTTATTGGCAGTACATACTGGGGGTCAAACTCAGAGATGTGCTACCACTGAGCTACCTCCTTATCCCTTTTTATTTTTCATTTTGAGACAGGATCTCATAGAGCTCCCCAGGAGAGACTCAAATTTGCAATTCTCCTGCCTCAGCTTCCCTCAATGCTGGGATTATAGGCTTACACCACCATATCCAGCTGTAAATGGCATAGATTTTAAGATATATGGTTAATACAGTACCTAGAAGAACTAAAAATGGCAAGGTTAAAGTTTAAGTCACTGTTTCCATGAGATGAACTTGGGGGATGAAAAGATGAAAAAGCTTTATGTTTTCCCTTTTATGCTCTTCATTATAGTTTAGGAAATGTTTTATCATGTGCATTTTAAAGTCAAAAAGAGCAAAGACAAGTTAGCACTTACTGAGAATTCTGCCATTTATAAGCAAACACTGACATAAAGAAAGACAAGAGTTTCACAATTTTAGGTTAGAAAAATTATTTCACCTTAAGATTCTCAACTCTTGACCCGCCCTGCCAAATGAAGAGGATGAGTGAAAGATCAGTTTTGTTTTGTTTTACATTTTTACGTTTTCTTTTCTATTTTTTTTGGTGGTACTGTACCAGGGACTGAATTCAAGGCTTTGCAAATGTTAGGCAAGCACTCAACCACTAAACTAATCTCCAGTCCTTTTTAAATTTTGAGACAGAGTCTCACTAAGTAGCCTAGGCTGGCCGGGAACTTGTGATACTCCTGCCTCAGCCTTCTGAGTACTGGGATTACAGGTTTGTACTATCAAACCCAGTTTAAATCAGTTCTTTATGGTTAGAAGTAACGTGTGAGAAATGTGGAAGGATGGTGTAATATAAACTTCCTACTACTCTATCAGTCTCAATTATTCAGATTAGGGGAGAAGATAGAGAATAAACTAAAAATCAGTGTGTGCAGTTTGAAAGTGCTAGCCAGTTGACTTCCAGTGACACAGCTCACCTTTTATTTCTTTACCCCAAATCTTTAGTTCCAGTTAGAAATAGTGGATACTATATTGTTTTTACTACGGTGCTTTCTATGATCCTTAGGTTTTTCTTTAAAGAAAAGTCACTTAATAGTCATAGTATTCAGTAAATATTATCTTCCCCTTTTTGTTAATAAGGAGGCTGAGGCTAACAATTTTTAAATTATGGCAGTTACCTCAAATCCCACATAAAAAAATTTAAAAGTACAGAAATTCTTAAAAGAATAGTCTCAGTTTAAGCCTCAGTGTAAACACTTAAAAGGAGAACTTGTTTCAAAGATGACAGCAACTGATTTTATGCAATTCATTTTGTCAAATGACAAAAAGGAAAACTGAACAAATGTTTTATTACAAGATCCATAATGTATAGTTTCAGTAAAAGGAAACTAAGTAATTTTGAAGTCCCAGCTACCACTTGAAAGTTTAGATTCATCTTCTAGCTTAGCACTTGAATTTGTTCTATACCTTTATTAAAATGTTATTTTTCAGCAATGTAAGCTAATATAAACTAGCAAAAGAAAGTATACTTCTAGTGTACCAGGTTTTATAAATACTTGGTTTTATCTTATCTTAATAACCACTTTAATAAATTACTATTCATTGAGCATTTGCGGTAGGCCCTGAAATGGCTGACATAAATATATATTTATATTTTGTAATTTTAATAATCATATTAGTTATTACTATCATATCAACTTTACAAATGAAAAAATTAAGATCTGGAGATGTTAAATAATTTGCCTAAAACCACACATCTGTATTTCTACTTTCTTCCAATCATTTTCATTTATTTTTGCCCACTTTTGACTGAACTCATTGTATGATTGTCCCTACCCCTAAAATATTCATCTTAGAAGTTCCTTCTTGGATTCCATTTCTTTTCATTTACATCATTTGCCTCAGCAATGTGATTATAGATTCAGGTATGCAGCAAACCCAGAATAGGATAAATTAAATCAAAAATACAAAAGAAAAAACAATCAAAGTGGTGAGAGGGCGGAGGGGTACCAACAATAAAACTTTGAAGTAGCCAGTTTGAAATGCTGAAAGAAAAGAACCTCGATTCAGAATTCTTTATTTGAGTAAAAATATACTTGAAGAATGAAAACAAAATATTCCAAGACAAGGAAAACTTAGTGAATTAATCACTCAGAGTCCTGCTCTAAGACATTTTATTCTTTAGAGGGAGAGGAAATAAAAGCAGAGGGAAATTTGGTACTTAAGGAATAATGAGAGAACTGAAATAACTAGTGTATATGTGTATATATAAAATATACAATCTCCTCTTAAGTTTGTTATGTAAACAATATTTGGTAGGGTTTTCAATTTATATGGATATACTGCAAACATCACCAAAACATAAAGTGAAGAGGGAATTAAAAAGTAAGGGGATATCTAGCCAGGGATATAGATCAGTGGTACAAGCACCTGTCTGGCAAGCACAAGGTCCTGAGTTCAATGCCCAGTACCTAAACAACAGGGGAAATGGTTTGCACACTCTAAAGCAAGGTCTGACTTTACTACCCTTTCTCGTTGGCCTTTTAAATTCAAAAAAAAAAAAAAAGTGATACAATATCTATATCCACTTGAAATGGTAAAATATAAATATAAATTATATACAATTCTTACAGCAATCAATAAAATAAATACATTCAGAGAAGTATGTTGAAACCCAAAAAAGATCAATTAAAATTAAATATACCAAAATATTCAAACAATTATCTTAAATATAAATAATCTGAACGTACTAATGAAAAAGTAAAGGCTAACATATTGGATAAAAAGATCCAACTACATGGCCACAAAATACCTATTTTAAATATAATGGTATAGATTTAAAAGTAACAGTGGAAAAAG